CCTATTCATTGTAGATTTAAGTGGACATTCGATTGTGGACCATATCCTAGCACAAACCTAGCTTAGTTGGAATTATTGAAGGAAATATTAGTAAATTAACTAAAAGCTACTAATACATAAAAAATTCTAATATTATAAATGTGAAAGTTTGTGTTTGTAGCCTAAACTGCTGAACGGATATAGACTACTTGTTTTTTTATTTATTTTTAATTTCAAGATGAGGGACGCGGGCCAAAGCTAGTTAAACATAGGTGACCAAAAAAATCTTACGAGAATAAAGAATGCATAATATTCTCAAATGATTTGGGGGTACCTATAATTATAGGGGGTGCCTATTTTAGGGGGTTCCTAATGTACTAACTTGGCAGCCTGGGGGGTGTCAACCCCGAACACTTTCTTCCACTGTTCGTGCGCGGCGAACTGTATGGCCGCGTAAGGCACTATCCTCGCCATGGTGGCACTGTTCCCCCGCCACAGCGCTATGACACCTTCCGTCCTCGCACTGCTGACAAGGAACTGGACAGCCGCTCGGGTAGAGTAGGGGATGTCACTGATAATACACACTGTTTTCAATACTGATTATATCTTACTAGCTGTTGCTCGCGACTTTGCCCTCGTGAAATTAAAAAATATAGCCTACGTTAATAGATAAAGTATCTTTCTAATGGTGAAAGACTTTTTAAAATCAGCCCAGTATCATATTTACGTTAACCGATTACATATAGAAGTACAAAAACCCAGAAATACTAATCTTTTCTCTTTATAATATTAGTATAATGTGATGCCGGAGGCCTAACTTTAGCCCTTTTCCTTCCCACCCTTTTTCTCATGATTCTCATGAGATGGATGGAAAGTGAGCGTGGATTTGACTGTGGAGGAAACGCATAGGTATGAGATATATTCTCTTTATGTGCGTTTTCTCCTTCGTCGATTAAGGGTAGGCAATGCATCCGCTATTGCGAATGTCTGTGGGCAGCAATCGATCGCCAATTTGGTGGGTTCAGATGGCCGCTTATAATATAAAAAAATACACTAATATAATAAATGAGAGAGTTTAGGTGGATGGATGTTAGAGTTTGAAACCTAAACGGCTGAACGGCTCTCGAAATTTCGCATATGTAGAGAATAGTCTGGAAGAACACGGCTAAGCCATTTATTTTTAATTCGCCGGCGGAGTAGCGGGCGAAGGTTGTTTAAGAAACAAAAGTTATCCAAAAAACATTGAAAAATTATCCTAAATTATGCAAAAAAAGGGCTCGCAATATTTAGGTTTTTTTTTAACATGTTTTATCCATATTTTACAATTTTTTAAAGTATTTTGTTTATAATTTTACATTGTTCAAAATTTATGCCTATTTAACATCATAAAATATGCAATATATATTACCATTTTTTTTAAAAAAAAAGCACCCTGTATCAATGCTAGTATTATAAAGAGGAAAATTTATTTTTGTATGTATTGAAATAACTCAAAAACTACTGGGCCGATTTCAAAAATTCTTTCACTATTAAAAAAATAATTTCATACGGACAAGTCGCGAGCAACAGTAGTACAGCTAGTAGTATATAAAATTGTGATACTATGGTAGCTCTCACCTTGTTTGGAACCTGATCTTGGCGCGGTCGAGGGGTGCTATGACGGTCTTGGCGACTGCGCCCGCTGTCGCCCCCGCCGCCAGTGACGTCACCAACAGCAACCCCCCGTTCATTTGTCGAGGGGTCTCTGGTACAAACGAAATTTACTTTTCAATAGTAGAGTAAATAGCTTACTTTTCTTTACAGCCATGTGAACACAAAACGATATTTTCGATGACAATCTAAACCTAGGATCTGCAAACAATTTCTTAACAAAATATAATAGATTTTTCGTAAAATAATTTACCTAACAGTTAATTTACTAAGTATCCTCTTTGTTGAAAAAACTTTTTCTTTAACATAAAGTTCCCTTTGTTAAAAGCACAAAGTTTATCTTTTCTTGTAAAGTCGAAAAGAATAAGAGTCGAAGAGACTTCGGACAATAATCAAACTTTTGTATAGTTGAGACACGAGAAAAAAGTCAAGGGGTCCCTTATCTAGTAAAATTTTATATGGGGTCTATGTCTGAGTTTGAAAATACTACAATTTACTCACGTCTGGTGTGCGAGGTTCTGTCGTCCTGCAGGAAGCCGCTGCGCTCACCCACGGCAATGGTCCCGCCCCCCATCCTGGACCCCCTACTGATACTTACATTGACTAACACCCCCTGAAACACATACTATGTAAAAATGTATGAGAAATAAAAATTATTTAAAGTAAATTTTTATTAAACACTAACTTTCGTCCGCGACTCCTTCCGCGTGGAATTAAAAAAATAAAAGTGTGTAGCCTATGCATTCTAACTATCCTCTACATCTATTCCAAATTTCATCCAGACCCATTCATCGTTTATGCTACAAACTCTAACAATCCATAGACACTTTCGCAGTTATAACTTTTGTAAGATTTCGCTTTTATAAAAACGTGGACCCCCAGTTACGACTTATGGACCCCCAATTTAGCGTCCAACGACCGTGTACCCCTGGTATCACTTTGGGAATCACTGACTTAGGTCAAATTAATTAATTGTTCTACATATCAACAAAAAAAATTTCCAAATGGAATTGTTATGCTTATTTTTGTTTTTATAACAATTGTTATAAGTATAACAATGATGGGAACGTCCGGTACATTATCATATTATTCATAAATCGCTGTTAAAATAATATACAGCACTGAAAAAATTACATTTACAATAAGTTGGCACATCACACGGTATAGTGCTTTTATTATGCACGTGTCAACTCAAAAACAGTAGTTAGATTTGATATTTCGACAACGTCAACAAGTCATTTTTTTAATCAACAATGACAATTACTATTCAAGTTATCATTTTATCTTAACAGAATAAAATTTGATAAGGAGAATCTTACTAACATTATAAATGTGTTAGAGTTTGTAGCCTAAACTGCTGAACGGATCTCGATGAAATTTGGCACAGATGTAGAGCATAGTCTGGAAGAACACATAGGCTACTTTTTATTCCGGGAATAGTAATGGTTCCCATGGGATTGATTAATTTAGTTTTTTAATGTTTACTCGATAGCTCTGCAACGGTTCAACATATCTTATTGAAATTTGGCACAGATATAAAACAAAGTCTGGAGCGTACATGGGATAAGGTTAATCGCCGAAATTGTCCGGTTCCCGAGGGATATAAAGCTTTTTGTTATTTATATAGTTCGTATATTTTCTAATATCACGCGGACGGAAGACGCGGGCAATAGCTAGTAAAAAATATTTTATTTATTTATTTATTGGTGATAACCACTCAGCATATGTGCTGATCTGATCTGATGTGTTATCCCCCTAGATTATAGACCTCCCTACCTAGGTCATGTCGTCTCCCAAATATAGCATATCAACTACTTGTAGGGGACATCAAAATTACTATATCTATAGATAAGATATAACTGTTAACTACTGTTCTGATAATATAACAATTACACAATAATAGTATCTTAACATATACCAGTACAGTTTCACAGTGGTAGTGCCCGCTTTAACATCTTAGCACTGCAGGGCCCCCCCAGTAATACCACGACCACACAGACAGGCGTCAAATGGTAGCAATTCCGTGTTTCGTCTGATGGGTGTGGTGCGGGAGGCCTAATTTAAGTCCCTTTCCCTTTACCACCCTTTTCTTATAAGGAGAGGATGGGAAGGGGAAGTGGATTTGACGGTGGATGAGATGCATAGGAAGGGGAAATATCCTCTTTATATGCGTCTCCTCCGCCGTCGTATAAGGGTAGGCAACGCATCTGCAGTTGCGGATGTCTATGGGCAGCGATCGCTTCACCATTTTGGCGGATTCAGGTGGCCGCTTGCTCGTTTGCCACCATATGTGATAAAAAAAAACCAAAATCTCATCTTACTAATATTATAAATGTGAAAGTTTAGATGGATGGATGTTTGTTAGAGTTTGCAGCTTATTTAGTTTTTAAATTCGGTTTCTATAAAACTAAATAAATTTGTTAATCTACACTATTATAATAAAGCGTAAACACACACTTCTTTGTTGCCTAACATGTCAGCAATTACACCATATTTTTGAATAATTCTTTTCTAATAAAAAGCCCTACACTTACGTCACGCTTTAGGCTATATATTTCCACGCCATTGAACTTAGGGCGTAAATATTTCGGATAAAAACCCTAATGTGGGAAAGAGACCATAAGTTGCTGCCAACATCAAGAAAGCAAGATGATAATATGACAAATGTAAACAATAAAATAGAAATTTCATAATTTCATGCGGATGAAGCCGCATGGGAACAGCTAGTCACACATAAATAGCTGGAAACATTAATCTATTGTTTTTTGTTATTTATAATTAGCAGAAATTTTTTATATAAAGAGTAAAGATTCATATTTTTGTATATTTTGAAATAATTCAAAAAAACTGGGCCTATTTCAAAAATTCTTTTAGAAAGGTAATTTATATGTGAGTAACAAAGGCTATTTTTTTAACCCTTAACTTGGCAGATTTTTTTTTTCGAATATCAAAATAATATTCATAGCACTTAACCTTGATGACCCAAAGTGTTTAGAAAAAAAACTGATGTATTTCTACAGATACACTAGCAAGAAAAGGGTATGTATATGTTAATTCCACTCATGTGAAGTTGCTAGAAGCTCGTAATTAATAAAGTTAGAAAACTTGATTTTTGCATAGATATAAAACATCAATCTATTTGTAAAGTTTTTTTTTAATTTCGCACAGATTAAATTAAAGTCAATAGTTTTTTTTTACCAGACTTCAAATGGAAGGAGTTTCTCAATTTGATTATATTTTTTAAGTATAATATTTGAGTCCTTTACTTTAGAAACAAGTTGACAAGTAACCTAAATTTATTATCAAAATGTAACTTTAATGAAACAGCATAAATTACACGCCAATGACCTTTCATATGTCAAATTAATAATAAGATAAAAATCATCAAAATGGTATTTTTGTTCCAATTAAAATATAACAATGAAGTCTTCAAGATGGAGCATTATACAAAAATATACTAGCTTTTGTCCGTGACTGTCAGCATGGAATTAAAAAAAACAAAATTATCTCATGCATTCCACCAGACTATGCTCTTCATGTGTATTCAGTAGTTTGGCTACAAACTGTAATAAACATCCAACCGTCCTAAACTTTGCATTTACAAGAGTAACATTCATTGCAACCCTACTAATATAAACTAGAAACAAGTACAAAACTTCAATTTAATATCTGCGTAATCTTTATAATCACAATAAAAAAATTAATTAAATTTCTTGCATACTATAAGATTTATAACAATAAATAACTTTATAAGATGTTGCTTCATAAAAACATCATTATAATCTGTTTATATACTCCCACAGTAAATAAAACCGTTTTGATTCTTATTTACATATTTATAAAACCTTAAAAATTCTTATCTGTGGTTCGGACGTTTTGTTTTTTTAAATCTACGCAGAACATAGTCCAAAGTCTAGGTCGCAACCTTGAATAGGTTCTAAGACTACATACTTAAATAACCACTAAATCTATATTTAGACAACCCTTTGAGAACAAACAATATCATTTTTACGACTTACTTGAAATTCCTTAGTGATATTTAATACTTGAAGACTTTGAAGCTTAGAACAATAGATTTCTAACTAAAAAGTTGCACTTTACCAATCTCGAATAACACACAAACACTTTTACTGTTTCTCCAATCGAAAATATTTCAAATGTATTGTTTACGTATTTTTATTAAGCAATAAATGAAAAAACACCTTTCCTTATCATGATAACTTGACAAACTGAATGAAGTACAGATTAAATAGTAAATTTATGTAACATTTTGACAGCTGATGTCAGTTGTTGCGAGATTGCAATAAATAAAATTCATTTCCTACCAAAATAAGCGACTTTTATATAATTGTCGTTAAAAGAAGGTGCTTTATTTGTATGTATTTTTTTAGTAAAAGCTGTCAGTATAGCCTTACTAAAAAAAATATTCATACAAATAACTTGTTTTAAATTAGTGTTGTGGACATGTAGTAGTACAGGAAGGGGAAATTGTCAACATCATCATCTCCTTATCCTACTCCCGTAGGGTCGGCGCAACAGGTTTTTGTCCTCCACATAACTCTATCATACGTCATCTCAGTCACTCCCTTTTTGATCATGTTACCTTTTACACAATCCATCCATCTCTTTCTATGTCTACCTCTACCGATGTACCTCCACATTCATAACTAACGTTCTTGTAAAAAGCGATTCATCCCTCCTCATAAGATGCCCATACTATGCTAACCTTTTACTCCTTACCTTCTCTACTACGGGGGCTACTCTCAAACTTTCTCATTATAATAGGAAGGAGAAACTTCGCTTTTTCAGCGAATTGGAGTAGATGGTCGCTTGTTTACCACCTTTTAACACAAAAGTATAAACACACTATATATATTATTGACTAGGGTTTTAAAGGAAATAATAAAACAATATAGTTAGAAAATAAAATTTATGAAATATGGACGTAGTTATTTCAAATTGTAAAACCAAATAAATACAATATGACAATAAAACTTATATGACGTAATCAACTCCATTAGACAATATATTTGTGAGTACAAGTACTTTATTTATTTAATTTACATAATATATTTTGTAAAATCATCTATACATTCTTCAAATCTCATAATTTTATCCAAAATTGTACTTTTTGTAATAAATTATTGCACATAAAAATGACAAACAAAGCCTGTTTTAGACATAATTTGTGTACAGCAATTAAAAAACCGTGAAATCTATAAAATAAATCTAACGTAGTAATATAAAGGCACATTAACTTTAATTACGAGTGTTGCCATTCAAAAACTACCAATTTAGTAGTTTACGCGTTAAATTTAAAAGCATAATAAAATAGTTAAATAAATCAATCGCTGAAGTCCAAATCTGAATCACTATCGTGTTTCTCCCTTATAGTCTTCTTAGTGTGTACTGTGAGTGCGCGCTGCCGTCGCGCCTCCGCCGGCGGCACCAACAAGTCACCTGAATACTCTATCACTTCTGCCCTGTTAAAATATAAAAAAAAACCCGACTTATTATACCTATGACTTGAGAAAAAAATACCAATCGTCACCTCTTTCCGTAGCCAGCCCAACGAATACCTAATGTAATAAAGCGTAAACACACTACATTGTTACATAGGTTGTCAATTCCAGCATATTTTTGAATAATTCTTTCTTTAATAAAAAGCCCTACACTTACAACACACTTTAGACTATATACTTTCACAGTTAAACTTGGTAGATAAATAAATTGGAAAAAAACCTTCATGTGGGAAAGGGACCATAAATTACAAGCTGCCAACATTAAGGAAGCAAGGATATTATAGTAATGTTAATTTTGACATTTGCAATTGAGATTTAGACACATGTAAACAATAAATTTTTACGGTGAAGGAAAACATCGTGATGCCTGCACATATCGGAGAAGAAATTCAAAGATATGTGTGAAGTCAAGCCGCAGTGCAGGTTGACTATGTCCTAGTCACCCCTTACTTAGGGTAGGCTCCGAGCCCCTCGGTGGGGATATATAGTGAGCTGGTGATGATGATGATCTATACTATTATAATAAAGCATAAACACACACTTCTTTGTTGCCTAAGATGTCAGCAATTACAGCATATTTTTGTAATAATTCTTTTATTAATAAAAAGCCCTACACTTACGTCACACTTTAGGCTATATATTTTCACGCCATTAAACTTAGGGGGTAAATATTTGGATTAAAACCCTAATGTAGGACAGAGACCATAAGTTGTTGCCAACATCAATGAAGCAAGGTTTTCAACATGTCATTTTGACATTTGCAATTGATTATTTGTCACATGTAAACAATAAAATAAAATTCTCATAATTTTATGCGGATAAAGCCGCACAAAAACAGTTAATATAAAAATAAATAGATAATATACCTGGCTATTCTCCACTCGAGTACTTCAGTAGTGAAGTCATCACAGTTGCCGAGGTCGGTGAAGCCCACTATGAAGTCTTTGGTCTTGTTTTCCTTCACCAGCCCTATGGTGGGCAACACGCGGATCTTGAGACGACCTACACAATAACCATTTTTAATTTTCAAATAAACTACTTGATTTTCCATTAATTTTTTTTTTAATAACATAAGGTGGCAAACGAGCAAACGGCCACCTGAATCCGGTAAAATGGCGAAGCGACCGCTGCAATAGACATCCGCAATTGCAGATGCGTTGCCTACCCTTATACGACGGAGGAGGAGACGCACATGAAGAGAATACCTCCGCTCCCTATGTATCTCCTCCTCAGTCAAATCCACTTCCCCTTCCCATCCTCTCCTTATAAGAAAAGGGTATTAAAGAGAAAGGGACTTAAATTAGGCCTCCGGCACCACACTCATCAGACGAAACACGGAATTGCTTCCACTTCACGCCTGTCTTGTGTGTGGTCGTGGTATTACTGGGGGCGTGCCGGCCTATTCGTACTAAGATTTTAAAGCGGGCACTACCACTGTGAAATTTAACATAAACAACAAATCAAAACAGTTTTTAGGCACAGAAGTTACTAATTTTAGGTTTCAGTAAAGTTTATAGTAAAAATCTTACTATCTCACTAATATTATAATTGCGAAAGTTTAGATGAATGGATGTTAGAGTTTGTAGCCTAAACTGCTGAACAGATCTCGATGAATTTAGGTATAGATGTAGATGATAGTCTGGAAGAACATAGGCTACTTGCTTTTGTTTTTTTTTATTCCAAGCGTGCGGAGTCGCGGGTGAAAGCTAGTAAAATCATATTATTAAAGATGCAAAAGTTAGTATGTATGGACATTTGTTACATAATCTAGATAATGGATAAATAGAATTTACAGATATGAATATTAGCCTGGAATAGACTACGAAATATTTTAACTCAGCGGACAAAGTCATGAGTAGAAGCTAGTTTTAAATAAATAAAAAATTGGAAACAAAATACAATCATACATCACATTATAATAATCTGAAGGCCATTTCTATGATAAACTTACTTTGGCACGCGACTCCGTGTATAATTAAAAAAAAACAAAGGTGAGTAAACTACATCCTCTTTATATGCTAAATTTAATGGATATACATTCAGCAGTTTAGGTTACAAACATCTATCCGTCTAAACTTTCGCATTTATATTTAGAACTAGCTGTTGCTCGCGACTTCGCCCGCGTGAAATTAAAAAAATATAGCCTATGTTACTCACAGATAAATTACCTTTCTAAGGGTGAAAGAAGTTTCAGTCCCAGTAGTTTCTGAGTTATTGCAATACATACAAAAATACAAATCTTTCCTCTTAATAATATTAGTATAGATTTATCACAAACCTGTGAGGAATGGCGCTCGTTCCACATCCAGCTTGACGAACCTCGTCTCGACATGTTTCTTAGCGAGGGTGTGGAGATGCATGTCCACGATGCGGCAGCGCGGCGTGTCCGCGCGGTAGAAGTGACACACCACATTCTCACTCTTGTTGCACACAACAAAGAACTCCTTCTCACCATCTATCTCTGTATACTCACCATGACCCTGGGAGCGGAGAACAGTTTCTTATTTTATCTTTTACACTATTCAGAACTGCAGTTCCATATCTACACTATTATAATAAAGCGTAAACACACACTTCTTTGTTGCCTAAGATGTCAGCAATTACAGCACATTTTTCAATAATTCTTTCTTTAATAAAAAGCCCTACACTTACGTCATGCTTTGGGCTATATATTTTAACACCATTAAACTTAGGGGGTAAATATTTTGGATAAAAACCCTAATGTGGGAAAGAAACCATAAGTTGCTGCAAACATCAAGAAACCAAGATTGCCAAGGTTTGTCATGTCATGTCATATTGACATTTGCTATTGACAATTTGACAAATGTAAACAATAAAATAAAATTTTCATAATTTCATGCGGATGAAGCCGCACAGGAACAGCTAGTTGTAGATAATCTAAATCCTTCCAAGAGTACACGGAAGGGAAAATATCCTTTTTATGTGGCTAAGGAAGCCATTACGAGGCAACAATACATCCGCTATTTCAGATGTTTATAGACAGTAATTGCTTTGATATTTCAGTGAATTTATGTGACCCCTTGCTAATTTGCCACTTTATAATATGAAAAAAAAATAATGTGCTGGCACACAGTAAATGTAATTAACTAAGACACAAGCAATATCAAGTTCTTTGTAAAATTATCATAATATACATACATTAGTGAGCCACTCCTGCTTCTGCTTTGCTCTTTTCTTCATCTCCTCAATGCGCTGTCTCCGGATTGCCTCCAAATCACCACTGTCCATTGCATCCAATCTACAAATACAAGAAGATTCATCAACTTGCCCTTATCCCTTATAGAGGGTCGGCACAGTATGTGCTGCTCTTCCATACATCTCTATCAGCCGTCATATCTGAATCCACTCCTTTCTTAAGCATATCTTCTTTCACACAATACATACTTTCTTCGGTCTTCCTCTTACTTTATAGCCCACATTCATCCTTAACACTTTTTGGTTTATGTCCCCATCGTCTTGCATTACATGTCCATACCACGCTAACCTTTTGCTTCTGAATTCCTCCACCACTGGCGCTACTTTCGAACTTTCTCTAATATACACATTCATACAAATACAAGAAGATTACTATGCTTAAATACTCCCATACATTAAAAAATGTTAATTGAATACACAATACAAAAGATACTTGTTACTATATATCTGAAATTTGAGAAAGATGTTGAACACAGTCTTAAGGAACACATCGGCTAAAAACTCTACTAAATTCTGCATAACTGAGGTTGTATGCAACAGCTACTCTTATACTTCTTTCCGCAAGTCAAATGCTTGTATTAAATCTTACTTCTCCAACTCGCTGTCCAACTGCTTCTCCACCGTCTGTGCCACATGCTGCAGAACTTGCTCCATTGTTAATAACAATTCTGAAATATAATTAATTGGTAACACAGACGGTAGTCCAATTGCTACACAAAACTTGTATTTAACATAATTAGTGATAGTTCTATTATTATCTTCATGATTCAGAACTAAACAAACACATATGCAATTTGGTATCTTCGAATAAAAGACGCCCGGTCCTTTCGATAACGTACACTTAAAACCAAACAGAAATAGTTCATTACTTCTACTGATTGTTGTATATTAAAGGTATTAAAAAGTTAGAGAGAGTTGTTTTATTATGAAAGTAGTGCTAAATAAATCACAATGATGACCTCATAAATGAGCCGCACACATGTTCCATAAAACTCTCATAACTTATTAACTTACCTTTCTACTTCAATAAAAAATATTTCAGTATATAACTAGAAGTGAAATTTTGAATTCGACGTAATAAATCGCTTTATAATATACGCAAAAGTCTGATTTAGTTATTTTGTTTACTAAACTCTTTGAACTTCGCTTTTTGTCATTTGTCAGTTTTTTATTTTACTTTCCTTGACGTTTAAACGAAAAATGTTGCCATGACATTGTGCAAATTGTGTCAAGGGTACTAATCAACGAACAAAAACTACCAAAAGACACATTTTGTGAAAGTATAGAAGTAATAATACAACAACATCGATATTCGGTTTAAATAATTATCGAAATCAACTAAAATTATTATTTTCTTATTAACTAATTTAGAGGACAATTCTAGTATTGATTATAGTATAGAGAATTTAGCGATGACAGAAATAATAGTGAAATCGAATTCGATTATCATTGTGAAGCGATCATCTTTGGCGCGTTTGTGCGCGCTTAGGGCAATGAGGGCACTGAGGCTCTACTATTATAAATATGAAAGTTTGGATGGATGGATGTTAGCCTAAACTGCTAAACGAATTTGGATGAAATTTGGCATAGATAGCATAGTCTGGAAGAGCTTATAGGCTACTTGTTTTTGCATTGTTTGATTCCACAGGGACGGAGTCACGGGCGAAAGGTAAAGTAATAAAACAGTACATTTAAGTCTCAACTTTACTTATTGAAAAATGAGGTACGGATGTTTAAGACTTCACTAACTTAAACATTAACACAGATTTATGTAATAAATTACAATCAGTCGTCCGCCAGGGTTACCTACATTAATAAAACAATCAAATATACAATAAACGAAAAATACAAATACAAATACAAAATATTAAATAATTTGTACAAAATAAATGCATTACAATCATTCAAATGGACAGCTTTTTATAATAATTAATTACTTTGTACAGACATTTAACAGCAACATTGATCAAAAGTAATTTTAATTATGAAATTTACTTAAAACCTTTTACAATTCCGCAGCTATATTATTTATGTGTATTAGATAATGAATTTATTATTTATTGCTTAATTTTCAATGTTTCTGCTATATAAGTAAGCTAAAAATCGTCAATATTTAGGAGAAACCAAATTGATGTGGCATAGAAGGAAAACTGTCCCTCTGGAGAAAATGGAAATGTCTGTGTTAAGCTACAGGGGAGCAGAAATTTTGGAGGAATCCATAAATAATATCCTCTATGGTTTTTTTTTTTAAATTAAATGAATAGCTCAATGTTAAAACTTTAAAATGCATGCATTAAAGTTACTTTTGGAATTGAAATATTAACATGTAAGGACATTGTTTTCGAAATTAATTATTACAACTTAATTTACAAGTGTTACTTTAGTGGAGTTTATACAATTTTTAAATTGTCATTTCAATGTAACTTGCATATTTATTCAAATAGTTTTTCATTAATTATAATCAACTATATCCATGGCACATATTTATATCAATTTGTTAGAATATCCAATTTTTGCAAGAGTCAAATTAATTCACAGCAATATCAAACATTGTACATAACGCAACTAGCAACACTGTCAATACCACAGACAACACTGTTCCTTCACATTCACTTTAATCACATGATTTATAGTCTGTCCTTTTATATGTGAGGGCGGCGTGTAGCAGCGGGTAGGAGCAGGGGGTGTATCACGAGGTGGTGGTGATGGCCTTGTAGAGACGCAGGCGCCACT